GTGCTGAAAATATCCCAATGAAAAACCAGCACCAACACATTCACAGACCTGTACATAGAGCTAGCTAGGCGCACTCGTGCGTGTACTCGGAATGAATACATTCAAGATGCTAGGGACTAGGGGTCATTAAATAACAGATTGAATCAATTAATAATATTAAATCAATGACTTATGTACCTTACAAAAGGCGTAATAATACAGTCGGATCCCTGTATTGTACAACACCGATTGTAAAAAGACAGTCATTCCGTTTTGTGAATTACTCTTAAAAATTGCTGTATATGAGAACTTATATCTTTAAAATAGTTGCACTCACCTCGCACCACCAACCCAGTTCATGGCTAACGTCTGTACATTGGCAGCTTTCGGTTCTGTTTCTTTTTGGATCAAATTTGAAAAGACCGACCTCTTACGCTTGCAGACGACAAAATCCAAACATCTCCAACAGCAATTTCTTCATGCATTATGGGAAATACGAAGTACGCATGCGCCCCATTGCTGTTATCATTTCTAAAATGGTGGACGTGTTGGTGTCGGCTGATTCTCGACCTTGATTGTTTTGTGCAAGCGTACATCGATCATCATGTCGCTCTCTAAACTAACAAAGTTTGCCAGTGACTTCGCGAATAATCCACCTGTTGGGAAGAGGTTTGTACGGGGGACAGTATTGACACTCGCCGTGTATTATGCTTACCGAAAGTACTACCCGGCGATCAGCAAATCCCCGTCGACGACACCAGCCTCGAGTCGAAGATCGAGTACAGCAGACGGCAGCTCAGGTGATGAAGCTCCCATTGGGACGTTCCGTCGTAAAAGTCATAAAGTGGACAAGAGGTTCTTTCAACAGCTACGATTCCTAATAGGTATCGTCATACCGCGCCTGTGGAGCAAAGAGTTTGGTCTGCTTTGCATGCATTCGGCAACTCTCGTCGCAAGGACGTTTCTGACCATCTACGTCGCAGTCCTGGATGGAAGCATGACAAAAACTATAGTGAACCGCGACGTACAGGGATTCATTTGGACACTCACTAAATGGATCGGTATTGCAGTCCCTGCTTCTTTCATCAACAGCATGATACGGTTCCTAGAAAACAAATTGGCCCTTGCATTTCGCACTCGCCTAGTCGATTACTCTTACAAACTTTATTTCCAAGACCAGACCTATTACCGCGTTAGTAACTTAGACGGGCGACTTTCTAATGCTGATCAAAACCTAACCGAAGATATAACAATGTTTTGCCAGTCAATATCACATTTGTATTCGCATTTAACAAAACCGATATTGGACATTGTTCTAATGTCGCATACACTGACCACTCTCGCCACTGAGGGGGGAGCCAGTACAACAATTCCAAGCATCATTGGCGGTATTGCAATCTATATAACAGCGTGGGTTCTTAAAAAAGTATCGCCAAACTTCGGGAAGTTGGTATCAGAAGAAGCCCAGAGGAAGGGTTACTTGAGATTCATACATTCTCGTTTGATTCAGAATGCTGAAGAGATTGCCTTCTATGGAGGTCATAAGGTAAGTATTTGCTAGAATGGACTGGGTTTTCATTATATACAGTCGCGACACCTACCAATACAACCATAATGGGCAGGTCTAGCGAATAAATTTGATAACGTTAATCCCACTAAATAAAATCATTACAAAAAAGTGTACAGTACACTTGTTGTGTCAGTGATAGCAAGGCGGAAAAGAGTTCCTTTTGCACCCAAACCCCCTCCCCCCAAATTAATTGGTGTTCTTAGGAGGGGCATATACAATTAAAGTGGGAAGCGCTGGAGAGGTAGGGGTAGAATGAGTGTTAGAGGTGGGTGGTGCAAGTGGAACTCTTTCCACAAGGCATATCATACAATGTATATAGGATTATATATTTCATTTTATCACAGTCCCCAGGAACTGTGCTTTTATTACTGGTATGAACAGTGCAACACATACAGTAGCTTCCGCTTTAACTATAAACAAATAACAAAGTACAGTAAATGTTCCTGCACTGGAAATAATCTGAAATTATCCAAGAAAGCCTGTTCATAATGCATAAATATAATTTCTAACCTTTGACCCTGAGGAACCAAAGTTCATTATAGTAGTACCTGTATGTTGAAAGTTCATGCCCACAAATGGGATGTAACCGTATTTGTTTGTTTAAAGCCAAGAGAAACAAATTTTGTGGTTCCTATATTATAACCTGACATACCGTGTTTTTTAGTGCCAGACCCTAAACTCTTTTTTGGTCATATTTGAGAAAATGTCTCAAAATTGTGACAGGCTTTGAGTGAGATTTTACAGAAATTCAAAACTTTGCAAAATAGGGTTATGTAAACAACTTTAAACATGATTTATGACACTCAAGAAAAAACTGAAACAGTTATAACCAAGAAAAAAATGTATAGAAAAATGTTGATAAAAAGAATTATAGGAACCACAACTTTTTTTTATCTGGCCTAAGATGCAAATAAATATAAGATAAGTAAAATCTGGTTAACTGGGTTAGCAATTTTTGAAATTCAACGTATACGTGGCATGGATGACCCAAGTTTTAAAATGCACATAGTGATCATTTGATGTGTGACTGTCTGATAATCTCAGTATCATCAATTCTGTGTCATGATCACAAAGTGGTTACTGTGCTGAGCAACGAATATTTAAGTCCAAAGGCCATGTGAACAGACTACTTAAATAGTGCCTTGATCAGTCTGATTAAAATTCCATCATATGTGATGGCTCCTCTCACATTCAATATACAGCTGAGGTTGTGCCTTACATCTAACTACATCTGACCAGTTAGATGTACCTAAACAAATTCAGACTGAATATTGAGCAACCAATCAGAACCCATGTTACAGACAAATTCCTAATAAGGCACCCTCCAGTTGGTTGACGAATCCCATCAGAGTGGAACTACCTGAACATGATTGATCAGTTGACAAACTAGTTTGAGGTGATGTTTATCAGCAACTGGAGCATCTAAAGTACAGTCTGAGTGTAAATTGATAGTTAGGTAGCTTAGCTTGCCTTCAACTGCGTAATCTGGCTAGAATATGTTTTATATCAGTAACATGGGTAAATACTACAAAGAATAAGTTGAAATTTTTAATGGTAATAATACTCGCTTAAAAAATTATAAGTCCTTATGAAAAAGGTGTATCAGTGAATAGGCAAATTGGAGGTTACACCCAGACTGTACTGTATCTACATGTACACAGATTTTAAAGTAGCGAGAGGGAAAAAAAAAAAATAGTTTGACTGCGATGTACGTGTTCTCCACCAGTTACTGAGCATGATCTTTTTTTCTCATTTTCCCCCCTATCGCTACCTTATGCGCAATACGATGTACAGTATTGTATGTGAGACAGTTTAATATGAGTTATCCATTGGTTATCTAGGCACTAGCATATGCAGTTTGTTTTCATGTCAGCACGTGTACCTGATATGAAAAATATGTCTATGGGTGTACAAGTAAAACATTAATAACTTTTTTTGCACACACACCAAATTTTTATTAAAACTAAGTTAGTGGGACTTAGTAAAAAGCAGACCTTTTAAAATTGAATGCAAGGTTCAGATTCATTTTGAGACTTGTAACCCTCAGAAGAAGTTTTCCTAGATTAAAGTATTTAGTCTGGCTTTAGTTCCATTGTAAGGAAACATAAGTAGACTAACATAATTTCAAGTTCTATTCAATGCATTATGAGAATATACCCAGTAGCAACTACCGGTAAATGGGGAGTATATATATGCTCATCTCCTAACAATCTATAAAGATGGCCAGTGAGGGCGCTGTTAGTGTTGCATGAATTTCAGTGTAAACAATTTTATTTAAGCAGTTGTAGTATTTGACTGTTTTAACATCTTTTGAATTGACTTCATACAGGTTGAACTGAACATGCTGCAGCAAAGTTACAGGTCGTTGACTGATCAGATGGATTTGATATTCCGTAAGAGACTCTGGTATATAATGTTGGAACAGTTTCTAATGAAGTACTTATGGAGCGCCAGCGGAATGATGATGGTAGCTATACCGATGGTCACGGCAACGGGCAGAGAACGAGGTGAGATAACTGTGTGGGACTGAACATGAAGAGAGATTCATTGAGAAAGCTGTATATTTTGGTGTTGGTCAAGAAATTGTTTTTATGTATAATTTAGGGGAAAAAAGCGCATGGTTGTGGAAAACTAAAAAAAAATTTATTACGCATTCTTATCATATTTGACCCATTTGGTGATGCCCGTTCGCTCAATTTACCTGGTGTTAATACCCATTTACAAAACTCCTTTATTCTCTTCTTTCTATTTTTTAGACACTGACAATGTTGGATTATATTGTATTGTTTTGTTTTGTTTTGTTTTGTTTTAAAGAGGCATTCACATACCAGAATGTATCTGTGGTCTGTCATTTCAATTCTGAATGTAGCTTCTTCTTTTTGAAAAAGTTGCACCATCAATATATTATATTTGTATGCTTGCCTTCTTTATAGGAGGAACGCATCTCCGCTTGAAGTATGCGTAAACAGGCATGTTTGATCATTAAAATATGACTTATTTTGACACACCCCTGTCAATTGTGTAAACACATACGCTAATAATAGAGCAAATACAGTATCTGTAGTTACAGATGTATCAGAAACACCTAAGCATATTAATTGCAGCATGTCCTTTTCATACACCATAGAAATCATGAAATCATTTGTATTTTGTAGACCAGCATCTGTCTGAAGAGCTGCAAGTAAGTGAAAGAACTGAAGCTTTTACTACTGCAAGAAATCTGTTGATTTCCAGTGCAGACGCCATTGAAAGGATAATGTCATCCTATAAAGAGGTAAGTTTTGTTATGCCCTGTTAGTATCATGACACATTTGGTGTCGCCACACTTGGTATGGAAGCTGCATGACAATAGTCAGTTGTCTTGAGTATTTTACACAGTCATGTGTCAAATTTCAACATAGGAAAACTTACTAATAAAAAAATACTAGTTTGCAAGGCATATGATGATTCACCTGTAAAAGGTCTATTTAATGGACATTGTGACGTACTTCATGTTCGATAATTAGGTCCCATGCAATGTATAGACAGTCACACTGTGAAGTCATATGTTGACATTTTTGCCAGCTTGGGAATGTCTGATAAGAAATGTCACTTACTAGTCAACTAGCTCATGATCTGCTGTGACAACGTTGCCCATAAGTTGTTATTTTAAAAGCAACATGTACATGTATATTTTTGATAAACAGCAGCAGCACATAAAGCCGTTATTTTATCTTTGGGTGGGAAAGACCCATTCTTACAAACCAGTCACTGCACATTTGTGTGTCCGTGAAACATAAAACAAGTACGACTACCTAATACAATTTCTGTAAAACCACAAAATTTGAACATTAATTGGATCAACTGACAATATATTGTGCAATCTATTGTAAGACCCTTACTTGATTTTCAACAAAGCCAAATTTGTTGAATACACATGTATCTCAAATCTGAAACATTTGTTGTTTAAATTACGCAGTCTGATCACATTTCTTTTACTTGAAATATATCATCCAAAACTCATCCTAAAAAAATTGCTTCCAATGTACTGAATCTCATTTTGTTGCAATGCAATGTTGCAAATGTAATTTCACATAAAACCTATTATGTCTTAAGTTGTCATTTTTCATCTGTATATTACTCAGATTATGGAGCTGGTTGGTTATACATCAAGAGTATCTGAAATGATCAAAGTGTTTGAAGATGTTAAAAAAGGCAAATATACCAAGAGCATGGTGACGGCGGGTGATGTCTCTAAACCTAAACTTGCTCTCAAAAATAAAGAACGAATTGAGGGGCCGTTAGAAGTGAGAGGTGAGTGAAGAAGGTGCAATTCATTTAAAAAGTCTTATTTTATTTATGATAATTTTTTAGTTTTATATATTCTCCTTTATCAGGGTAGTAATCTTTGTTTTAATACGCAAACATGTTGCCACCATGACCGTATATTTTTGGGGATTTGTGTCAGTATACAATTGGTTATCAGATCTTTAAAAGCATGAAACTGTTTCATATTGTTATTATTCAGGTGAAGTGATTGAAGTGGATACAGCCACTATATCCTTAGATGACGTCCCTATTGTCACTCCAAATGGAGATGTTATTGTATCAAGTCTTTCTCTTGAGGTAATATAAGTTTCCTAATACATGTAATTGCTTTATAATAATATTAATTACATTGTATTAATGTAGTATATTAATCTGTTCTAGTAATACATCTTTACAAAAGTTACGCTTTCTAGCACTAATGCACTTTCGTGACATGGTGTTTACTGGTTAATTACTGGTATTGAACTACCTTGCTTCTATGGAAGTTTAAAGTAAAAAACTAAATCTAAAGCAAACTTTGTAACCCAGTTTTCTCAGTCAATTTTGCTTTTGCCAGGTTTCCCACAAGTGGGAAGTAGACATGAACTAGTTTGAAAATCTAATCCAAGTGTATGCTAAAAACAATATTGTTCATTGCATATAAACCATATATAACTTGTAACTTTAGAAACATCATTTTAATTACTCGAGTATACAGTTTACACCATTGAGTGAAGTTTTAAAAACTTTATTATTTTTTAAATTTCATAACGATTAAAATTATTCAGGTCATCGAGGGTATGCATTTGCTGATAAGTGGACCCAATGGATGTGGTAAAAGTTCACTGTTCCGGATATTCAGTTCACTGTGGCCCGTGTATAATGGACGTCTGATCAAACCAGCACTCAAATATATGTTTTACATACCTCAAAGGTAAGAGAAGCGTTAGTCTTTTTGATGTGTACTTTTGCATATATCAATAGTCATTCTAGATGATACCGCGTATATCCTCATTGTTTGTTTACAACCTTTCAACCAATCATGTCTTCACACTGCTGTGCAGATCTAGTCTCTTCTCTGTGTCTTCAGTTGATGATAAATGCATTTTCATGTAAGGGAAATTTAAAAATTCTAAAAGTTCTTAAACAACATTATCCTGCTGTTCGCTAAAGAGATAAGAATGCTCATTCTGACATGCACTCTTCATACAGACACGTATTTTTGTCTAGTAGTTCTACTCCTTTGCGATCACATTTCTGAATTTCAATGATCCCATCGATAATTTTAAACTTCATGGGTATACAGTTTGTTAATTTGTCTTCCTTACAGACCTTACATGTCAATAGGTACGTTAAGGGATCAGGTCATCTATCCTGATATGCCGGAGGATATGTACCGGAAAGGATTCACAGATGAACACTTAGAACAGATTCTTCAAACTGTCTATCTACAGCATATTGTGGTCAGAGAAGGAGGTAAGTTATACTGCCAATAGAGGGCGCTGTCGCCTATGTCTTAGAAAATAAATATATGTTTGTTACTTTGCAAATAGCATATTATTGTCAGTTTGAGGTACTGGGTAATTATAGAAGCATTTGTATTTTTAAGGTTGGGATTCAGTCATGGATTGGAAAGATGTGCTTTCAGGAGGTGAGAAGCAGAGAATGGGAATGGCCAGGATATTCTATCATAAGTAAGTGGTGTTTTTTTTTACATCATTCACCTCCGTATGCTGCTGATGTTTTCTCAAAATTTTTGAAATCTGTTATACACAGCCTACTGGTAACTTAATTTAACAGTTAATATGCAGTTTGCAGTTCTTACTTGCAATTATAACACATATCTGTACGCTGTACACATATCTGGAATTACTTCTATAGACTTAACAAATATTTTTTTCAATCAAATTTGACAATGACAACATAACGAAAACTTTGGGTTTGACTTTTGCTGATTTAAATGTGCCAAGTTACGAGTCGAGAATTGTTGCTAATGTTGGCATGATTTTGAAAATTCAATCTCAGAACTTCCAAATTATGACAAACGGGGTACCGGGTACATGATAAATCAAGTAAAATATGATTTGTTAATTACAGGCCGAAGTTTGCTCTTTTAGACGAATGTACAAGTGCTGTCAGTATTGACGTTGAGGGCAGTATATTCCAAGCAGTCAAAGATGCCGGCATTGCATTACTAACAATCACACATAGACCGTCTTTGTGGTAAGTTTCCATATCCACCAGTACCATACGTATGTGCAAATCAGATGACACTGCCTTTCACTGGCCATCTATGCCATGCATTTGTTGAAGAGCTCATAGGTATCAATTTTCTGTGCTGCATGTAAAACATCCAGTAATATACCAGTTTTATAATTTATATTTTAACTTCTTTCACTACAGGAAACACCATACTCATTTACTACAGTTTGACGGCGAAGGAGGGTGGCGTCTGGAGGAATTGGACACCAAGACTAGATTATCACTGAATGACGAAAAGCAGAAATTAGAGTCTCAACTAGCGGGCATACCCAAGATGCAGCAGCGACTCAACGAATTATGTAAAATACTCGGCGATGACTCAGTGTTAAAATCAACCAGTACATCTAATAGTTTGCAGTGGGATGGTAACATAGCTTGATACCAAACACAGTGTGCCAGTGCTAATGCAAGAACAATAACCAATCTGCAGCATTTCGCACGGAGATGTAATGTATATCTCTATTGACTAATTGTAAAGTTAAGTCACCACCAGATCTAGACATGCTCGGAATGTGATCTGTCAGAAAGATGATTTTTTTTTTGTAGACTGTTCAAAAACCAATTCGAGTGCTGACATACCCCACTGAAGGCCTTTCCTAGAATGTACATTAAAGGCCCAGTAGCTGTAATGAAAACGTCTCTAACGGCGTTCTAAATAACTATTTTGGGTTGAAAACTTGTTGCATTTATCTTTGAAATTGCTTATCTCCTGTTATAATAAAATGTACATCGATCTCTGTGCGGATACGAATGCGGAGAAAATGCTCACGATCGAACTCAACGCCATATTTCTAGGTGGTCTGACTGATCACGAGATGAAGAACTCTTCTACACGTCTTCTACACCGATCTGACGCATATCGCGCTAGGTGTGCCGGGAGTTTGTTCGAAATTTCGAACGTTTCGAAGTCAATTGTCGATTGCCACGTATTTTACGGATATATTAAATCGTTTCAGAGACCTGTTTACTAAATAATGATAAATGAAACTTAGA